ACCAAGTACGCCCACTGGCCATCCCACCAAGTACGCCCACTGGCCTTCCCACCAAGTACGCCCACTGGCCATCCCACCAAGTATGTCCACTGGCCATCCCACCAAATGCGCCCACTGGCCATCCCACTATGTACACCCACTGGCCATCCCACCACGTCCTTCAACTGGCATTCACACCAAGTCTGGCCTCTGGCCACCCCACCAACTGACCATCCCACCAAACCGGCCCACTCGCCATTCACCAACCCAGCCCACTGGCCGTCCCACTAAGTCCACCCACTGGCCATCCCACCAAGTCCACCCACTGGCCCTCCCACCAAGTACGCCCACTGGCCATCCCACCAAGTATGACCACTGGCCATCCCACCAAGTACGCCCACTGGCCATCCCACCAAGTATGACCACTGGCCATCCCACCAAATGCGCCCACTGGCCATCCCACCAAATGCGCCCACTGGCCATCCCACCAAGTATGACCACTGGCCATCTCACCAAGTACGCCCACTGGCCATCCCACCAAGTACGCCCACTGGCCATCCCACCAAGTATGACCACTGGCCATCCCACCAAATGCGCCCACTGGCCATCCCACCAAATGCGCCCACTGGCCATCCCACCAAGTACACCCACTGGCCGTCCCACCAAGTCCACACACTGACCATACCACCAAGTCCGCCTGATGACCATCCCACAAAGTCTGCCCACTGACCGGCCACCAATTCCGCCTACGGACCCTCCCACCAAATCCACCCACTGGCCATCTCACCAAGCCCAACCACTGACCATCCCACCAAGCCCGACCACTGGCTGTCCCACCAAGTCTGCCCACCGACCCTCCCACCAAGTCAACCCACTGGCCATCCCTCCAGGTACTTCAGCGCAGCCACTTTTATTTTAACACTCTTACAACGTAATATATGAAAATGAAAAGTATATTTCAAGTCATCAGCGCATTCAATATTTAAGAATAAGGACATTTATTTTGGCCAAATCTACAGCAAAAACTCCTTGGTTGGGGCCTGGGGCAGCCTGGGGACCTGGGCCTATATATATA